TCTGCCTCTTCTACTCTCTGTCAGTGGGACCTTCAGTTCTTTAGGGAGGATTAAAACTTTGCTAAAGAGCTTGCCTCAGCAGAAGGACATGTGGGCGTTATCTGGCCTGTAATCTCTGAGTCAGATATATGAGCTAATCACACCTTTTACCCTTGCACTCTTTGAAACTATGAGCTCAAGATGTTAACAGCCTTGAAAGATCACATCCTAACTCCCCAGTCCTGGTCTTCAACTGTTCACAGCTTAAAAAAATATTGAATAAAAAATTCTGTATATAGAAGAACAATACTTTCACTACTGCACGCAAGGGTTAAACGAGACACAGGTGGTGGGATTTTGCATTTGTCACCACAAAACATACAGCTCTATCCTTTCTCCCTGTGCCTTTGTCTCCCTCCTCCCTTCATAAACAATCTTGGCTGCACATGTCTTTTTACGTTTATGACCCATCTTCTGGGATGACTGACATCCGAAATAACTGACATACAATGTGAATCTTCTCACTGTTACCCATTCTGAGATGTGTAGCTGAATAAAATTCCACTCAGTCAGACATAAAATCAAATTAGAGGAGTTTGCTTTGAAGGGAAAGAACTAAATATGAAACAAATAAAGCAGTGTATAATTCAGTTTTAATGGGGTAATTTTCTAAAGCCACACTAATCATAATCCTAACAAGGTAATACAGTTATGTTGTGAATTTACTGCACATCACTGTTCACTATGCAGTTGAGCACCAATCACATGAGGGATTTGCCCCACATACAAATTGAACAATTTTTTTTTTCATTATTCAAGATTTGCTCAGCAGAGCACTTCTGTTTATTAATAATTACACCTTACGGCTATAAAACATGTTTTGCCTCCAAATATCCAAAACAGTGCTTATATCGCAAGTGTTCACAAAGGCCTTCACCCATCATTGAAATCCTCTGGTGAACACATGACATATTTCTTCACAAAGCACTGCAGTATTATTCAACGGTGTAGAAGAAAATCAAAGCATGCTATATGTTTTAACTGCACAAATTCAGACAGAAGGTAATGACTGAAACATGGAAGCTGGCTAACCCTGAAATAACATTTCCTACATTTGGTAAAAATGCCACTGGATATTTATTGATCGTAAGTATTCAAGACCTGGGTTTTGGATCTGATTTTTAAAGTAGCATTTTTCATCAGCACAGCAGCTCTCAACTGTGAGAATTACCCAAGTTATAGGAGAAAGCATGACCTACTGCTTTGCATTTACCTTTCAAAGTCTCTGGATGTCCAACCTTGCTTGGTGTATGAAAGCCAATAGGTTATAATCTAACGTGCTGTGGCTATAGGCCGCATACAAATCAGAACCAAGGAAAGAGTTAATAATTTGCAAAACATGGGACATCTTTCTACACCTTTATTTAAGTGTTCAATTCTGAAAAGTCATTCTAAAAAAAACCATTCATCAGGTTGCATATTCAATATATCTCAGCAAGCGTCTGATACAAAAAACGTGCCCTGCTGGCAGGTTAAGAAAGATGTTTTTGTCTGGGATTTTAGAGTCAAGCTGGGTTCCTCCTGGACAGAGTACTGTCAGCAATCAAAAATTTCTGACTAAAATTCAGTGAATCATTCTTTTAATCATGTAGCATGGATTCTAGGATGCTTTTACTGCTGCATCATTTAAAAAAAACTAACAGGTGAGAAAGCTAACTGAAAAGGCTAGGATCAAACACACATCAGGAGCAGGTGAAATAAGCAGATGCTTTTCTACATGAATCCATATACTGAGATCCTTACTCAGCAAAAATTTCCATTTATATGGCCATCTCATTCTAATATATACCCTGTATACACCTGCTTTTTAAAAGATTATTTATAAAAAAAGACTGAAGTAACAGTCAGAAGACAAAGCTACAGCACATATGATACAAACAGAATTTATTTTTCTTACACAAACATTATGGCTCTGTGTGAGGATGCAGTAAGGTGAACACCCTACAAAACAAACTGCAGGTTGCTGACACTGGGCTCGACCATTTCCAGATATGGGTTATTTCAAAATTCAGAAGGTGTTTTTGATGTTCGATAATACCCAATCCACATAGCTTTTGCCACACAGCTTTTTTTTTAAGCCACATAATCTGCACACCGAGAAATCATAGACACAAGCACTCACCAGCTTCACTCACAACAAATATCCCATTTGCCAGCATAACGGCCACACACACATAAAAACTGTTATGTATAACAAACGAGATTAAGTTTTGAGAACAGACATGCGTAATGGCTGTGCCCTTGTCTCAAGGCAAAATGTGGATGAGGAGTAGGAGTGAAGATTTGTGACTTAGGCAAGCGAATACAACACGCAGAAAGCTGTAGTTCTCTGAACTAGTAACTTTGTGTCCCTAAACCCCTGCAGGCTCTGAGCCGGAATACACGGAAGGTTACACTAACCAGGAACAGGCAAAGTTGTCAGCAGTTCCCACGCCCCTGCAAGGGATCAGAAACCGCACTGAACTGAACAGACTACCAGGAGACCCATAAAAAAAAAACTCCCCCATTTGGAAGCAGAGAGCTAGCCCACATCTGTTACAGCTCCAGTGTAAAGGAACCTCCATATTTCCATGTTATTACCTTCCACCTGCCCATAGTTGCATAAAAAAAAAATTCTGTTGGTAACAGGAATCAAAAAAGAAAAGACCTCATTTCTTCTAGCCACAGTAGATCAGTCGCTGGGAAGCTATGGCAGTTTAGAAAAACAACAAAAGGTGGTAAGGTGTCAAACGTCTTTAAGTGCAAGAGGATTTACCAAGATTAAAGAAAAATGAATAATCAGACCTTACGGGGGAGGGTATACTGGGTGTTATATTGGCCAGAGAGCAAACTCACTAAGCAAGGGCAATTATATTGAGGGAGAAAAATAAATTTTTTCAGAAATAAGAGCTAAATTACTGCTGTTTCCCCTAATTGTAAACTTTAGTCAGGATCAAGCTCTACTCTGTACCCACTATGGATAGGTGAATCAGAACCGGAGGTGGTGAAGCAACCCTCCTGGTGCGTACAGCTCCCTCCAGAAAGTTACACTACTGCTCTTACTCCGTTCCTGCTTCTGGAAGGGTTTCTCAGCCTCTCTCTCTCCCCAGAGTTTGGAATATGATACCATCAGCGTCACAAGTTACTAGTGAGTATTTTTCTTTAGTGGACATCAAACTGCTTTACAAAGCAGGTGTAACATGTATATGGGAAAACCTATGCAAAGAAAAACAAAATGAGTTCCCTATGGATATCCAGCCACATAGCAGAAGAAGCTCAGACAGTGCCCTGAAGTTCAGAGCTCTTGGCCAAAGACCTATCCAGTAGGACATACTGCCCTTGAGGACGTGAGTCAGAGGAATTTCTCCATCTCTCGTTATTTCTCCTTACCCACCCCCCCGTCAATGAAAGAACCCTATTTCAATCTTTGTGTATGACTCCAAAAACATTGAGCTAATTCAGAAAAGAGCTCAGAAATTTTGAGAGTGAGGCCTATATACGCTGAACAGAAGGCAGAGCAAGGCATTTCTGGCCTTTTCTTTACTGCCAGTCTCACTGGTGGAGAACTTCATTTCAGCACTTTTGCGTGAATTAAGAACATAAAGGATCTCATCAGTAATTCTAGATATGATACTTAAATCTCATCTGGACAAAATCTGGCTTAAATCTAAGAAATTAATAAAAAATAGCATTGCTATAGAAAAGACTGCTGTACAGACAGAAAGATTGTGCCAATGGTTAGTATAGTAACGTAGCTTCAAACACCTATGTCACCGATTTTCTAGACGACCTAGAGCAGGCAACTTAGTACCACTATACCTCACTTCTTCACTTTTAAAAAAGGGATAATAGCTAAATGGGAGTATAAGGATAAGGCAAGATAAGCAATGGAGACTATATACAACTCTCACAGAGACAATTGAGTTTATGCATGGGTAAAACACAAAAAAATTGAAGCTGTTTTTGCTACATTTTCTTTAAGCTAACAAACTATTTTACCGACGCCATCAGAGCATGATTTCCGCACTATGCAGCAAAGATTACATTTTTCCAAGCAAAGGCATAACAATACACTGCACATTACCTTCAAATGAAATTGTAGATCTATTTTTCCTACAAAACAATAGAGATAAACCCTGCCTCAACAGCATCTGCTGAGCTCCTTCTCAAGTCAGAATGAGCTTCAAGTCATATTCTACAGTCCAAGTCATACTTGGGTATTTAAAAACAAGACATGCAAGTCATAGTTACAGCTACCAAACTCAAAACTCCGGCTATCCCTTCAGTAAGTAGGGAGAAGGAGACAAATTCCCAGTTTGACATGTTCAGTCAGAAGCCCAAAGACAGACTTTTTTTTGTTATATTTGATAACAAAATTTGCACTACAGGAATATAGTCTTCTCGATTCTACAATACAGAGCCCATTGATATCACTAGGGTTTAAGGGACACTTCATACAGGAAAAAAGATAAGTTATCACAAAAATTATTTTTGGAGAAGTTCAGCACAAAGACTTTGAGGTCAAAAATGGTTCAGACAACATATCTAAACCACATAGACTGTACATTCCTTCTGCCAAAAGCCAAGCTAAGCAGAAATGAAATCAAACATGGATCTTCCTTGATTTCCGCACGTCCGAGTAGTAACACAAATGATAAAAAGGACAAAAAAGCCTGTCCAAAAATCTAATGCTGACTTGAAAACTAATCTATGTCATAAATAAACTAAAACAAGCCTTTATTTTTATTTTGTAGAGTTATCCAAGTATCAGCAATCACAGTACAAAAATCAATTAATCAGATGCTATTTGTTCTTTTTCAGTGAGTCAGTGCTGCCATCTAAAGCTACCTAAGGGGCATGCAAAGGAAATTCAGGGAAAAGTCAAGCATCTAAACATTTTGGAAGCCCATCTAAGCAGGCAGAGCATGCAGAGTAAATCAAATACGTTAATAAGATACACTAAACTAATGATGTTGCAGTACCTGAAGGAGCAATTCTTTCTCTATCACTTCACCTGTCTTGCTGATGAGCTGCTTCTGCAGTCTCTGTATTTTCTGGATCAGCTCATAGGTACTTGGGTCACTAGCCTAGACAAGAAAGAGTAAAGCAGCGTCAAAAATTATACATCCAAAGTTGGTGCTTCTTGCTTGCAGCTGAAAACCATACGCATCTAAAAGTGACAAATAAAAAATGAGTTGCTGAGCTTTTTATTTCATCTCAGCAGAGGGTAAGTTGTTTGAAAAAGGCATGTGTACATGCAGTCCTGAACCTGGAATATTTCCCTTTTAAGATTAGTCAGAGTAAGCTCATGTTTAACATTATTAACCGTGAGAATATTTTTCAAAACAACCAATATAATTAGGAGTTCTTAGGAGCTTAATACTCAAACTACCAAAGGCTGGGAGAACCACATGGGAAGGAAGAAAGAGGAGACTAGCGTATCATTTTTAGTAGAAACTTTGACTGATGTATGTGGAGCAGTGCAAGTGCTGCACAGTGTTTCAAGAACTTCATACAGTGTCAAGTAAGTATTTAGGAAAGAGAGATTTTTCTCCTGAATCAAAAAAGAGTAACTGCAATACAGTCTTTGTGGACCAGTTGAGAAGCCAAGACGAAGAAATTATGGAGGTACATGGACAAATTATTACGAGGCTTTAAAGTGTCCATATTTGCGGCATCTCATTCTCCAATAGAACTAAGTGCTTAAAAAGGGGACAGACTGTAGCCACTAACTGCATAGCCTAAACAGTACAGGAGCTGGTACGTGTCTCTCTCTCATTCTCCCTTTTTCATTCTTTGGTCACAGTTTAGTATCTGAAGGAGCCTCTAAGGAACAAACTGATAATTCTATGAGGAGCAGCCCAGCAAAGCTGATTGAAGCTTTTCCCCACTCAGGGATTCACAACACCTCTCTCCCACATGGATTCGTTGGTGGCTCACAAGGATTAAACTTACACTGCAGTCTGTCCCTCAATAAAGGCTCCAGTGAAGTCCCTCTCACTGCACATTTTCTTGAACTTAAAAGGAACATGACATCTTTGTGGCACTCAATCTTTGTCATATTTCATCTGAATTGGCTAATCAGTTCAAGTGTAACTGGGACATACAAACACAGATACACACTTAGCACTCATGACATAGCGTCATTCCTGAGAGAACAGGCTAAAAACTGGTTCAGTTTCCATGACCCATTCAGTCCTTGATCTTTCTATAGTGGTGCCAACCTGTGACAACTGTAGATACAAGGATGTTTGTTCACTAGGAATTGAATCAAAACCCTATCAGGATCATTTCACACGGATTTTGCCATCTGCTGGCTTTCCTGTGTTCCAAATATAAATCACTGACCTGAATGGAAAGACTTCATTTTTCATTATCAGTCTCTTAATACCCTCATTCTCTCAACACTGGATTTTTTGACTGGCCTGATTTCCCATTGTTATGTGGAGCTGCTGGAGATTTAACCCAGCTCAGCATTCTGCATTTTATCTCCTTTCCATGAGGAAAGGTCAGCACACTGTTCAGCTTTAAGCGAAGAAAGATCGGAAATTAACTATCACACTAGTAAGCGCAGCCAAAATATTCAGCTGTACTTCTGTAGGGACTAGCATGTTATCACTTATTTACCAGGGCAGCTAAGTAACCTACATTGGCCTTAGATCAGAGATCCATGCAAGAGAGAGATCTCAGCTGGCTCTGACTCACTTTGAAAATATCCAGTGATGCCAAGTGATGTTCATATACTTGGTCTATGCTTGATAAATTTATTATTTTTCCCCTGCATTTAGCAGGTTTGAATAGTGTGAAATTTTAGATTTGCTGTTTACTTAACAGTTGACCTCATATTACCCAGAATGGCTGTCTCCACTGTTTATGTGGAGGTTTCTCATAACACAGATGCATCTTCCACTTTTTTGACTTCATGTCTATCCATTCCCCATTCCACCTGTTCTATGAGCCTTTCTAATCTTGGCTTTCTTCCCATATAACTCTCCCTAATTGGTGAGGGTAGGATTATACTTTTTCCCTATCATCCTCTTTCTTTTCATCCATGTTAAGAAATCACCTCCTTCTAAATTCACCTCATACATCCTTATTCCCTTTAGCTCTTTGAAAATCCCTCTGCAATTTTTCATTGAGGAAGTGACACAAAAATAACACTGATTGCATTGTGCTCGGAAACCATTCAGCAGTTAACCACTCCATTGGTACTATGGAAATTTCAGTTGCCTGCCCCTCCACATAATTTGCATAACAGTAAAATAAATAGGCTTTGTGCTGTGTCACTGATTTAGAAATAAGGGCACTGGGAACTTGAAATGCTGAAACATCACCTCCAATTTTCTCCATCTGTGAACATTCAGGGGATTCTCCAGCTCTGCTTCCAAAGCTCTGCACCGAGTCCGTTCCCTTAATAGTTCCTTCTGCATGTGATAAACCTCCTGTCTTAAGACCAGAATAAAACAAACAAACAAAAAAACACCAGAAGCACATAAATTTGAACAAGGCATTAATATGAAGAGTAACAATCTTCTCTCATTTCTACAGCACTGGTAAAGGCACTCTTGTAATCAGCGGTTGACACCAATAACACTACCTGTGTGTTTCCATAATATAATGCAGTTAGACTGCTTAACTCACTTTAGTAATAATAACTCAAAAAAGGGGCTTTTCAGCAATTCCCAGGGGACCTACTTCACAGCCTCCTGGATGTCTCTCCCCAAATTTCTCCATGTATATTAAGGCTACAAGGACAGTTAATTCATCTAAACTAACCTACAAACCACAATCATAGTGTCATACCCTGTTACCTCTGTATTGAATCTGACAGCTGCGTTTGAAAGTAGCATTTCAATCTATATGGCTCAGTGATTAAAACACACTCCAGGACCTAAGGCTGATGAACAGTATTATTTGGAGAACCCAAGTTTGATTTCTTTTACTACCTCTTCTCAAGGGACTCAAGGGGTGATTTGTTGCTGAATTTAAGATTAACTGAGGACCCCCAAGATGCTTCGATAGCTAAGACTCCCATGCCTTCCCACGGGGGGAAAAAAAAGACCTATTTTCCAAAGGTCTAACCCTCATCACTTTTGTGGGTGGATCCTGTAGGTTTTCCAAACCTGAAGGAAAATGGAGGTGATGATCACCATATGCCTACTCCCCCACTGAGTTTTTTTCTTCCAAGCTCAGAAGCATCCAGCTCACTAGTCAGAAAAAGGCCTTTTTTTAAATGTGAGGTTGGACAAGCTTATGGAAAAGAAAAAAAACTTGTTTCCAACTGGCAAACCAAGAAAGCTAATCAGAAGCACTCATGATAAATAGACTCTTTCGACAGGCAGTTTTCATGATGGTGTTGGACTTCATTAAAGTATGGGCTTGTTGCTGTAGTTAGCAAGAATTGATCCACCCATTGTGGCACACATTGCACTACATACTTCAATACCTTCACTAAGTTTCAATACAGTAACGGGCTTACAGCTGAGTGCATTTGGGCAGCAAGTTCAAACAGTATTCCTGTTTGCATTCAGTCAATGAGAAGTGCAAGTGCTGTTTCATGCCCAGTTCTGTCTTCTGTCGCCCCAAATCAAATCGGCTTAACTCCACTGGAGTCAATGGGACTGACTATTGACTGAGATTAATTTGCTCTAGTGAAAGCCACAGAATTACACTGATGTAGTTCAGCTAAAGATCTCACCCAAAACTGTGATAGCTACATAGAATTAGTTCAATGGTTATCTGCTGAAAACATAAAGGACTCTCCTTACAAACCAAGACTAATTCTACAGAAAATGGCAATAGTTTCCTGGCAGCAAAGAGTAGGCTTCAAGTATGGGAAGGTTAAAAAAAGAAGAGAAGCATTAAGCTAGAGTAAGAGGAGATAAATCAGTGTGGGGCTATTAAACTTCTGTTCTAAAGAAACACAACCTTCAATGAAAATTTAACTAAATCTCTCTCAGAGAGTAAGTCTACAAATAAATCTCGAGGAGAGAGCTCTGAAAATGGGTAGGGGTGTGTTATAAATATGTCAAGTGTTCCCCATCCTCTACGGAGTGCCTAATAAAAAGCAGTTTCACTAATGTGGACCCTAGGTACCACTAAGTAGGTCATTGAACTATGAACACCTTTGCTGCTGCTGTCTGTCAAGTTTGTTCTGCAGCCAGTAACTCACATTACAAGGTGAGATGTGGAAACTATTTCAGCTTTGGCAAAGATGTCTTTTTCCCTTCTTTCCTCCTTCTTATTTTTTAATTCTCTTAATCACCAGTCACTTGGTTCGTGAATTTAAACCAGTCTATGTTTGAGGTCAGCTCAGATAATCCCCTTCTCCAAGGCATAATGTTTGTCCGTATAAATCTTTACCATGGAGGAAACAAGTTCTCTCATCTGTCTCAAATGCAGCACCACGACTGCAGTCACTATGGAATGTATTCAATCAGTTTTTCTACCTGAGTTCCTCCACATTAGCTACACTCTTGCCAAGTATTCCTTTCTCACGCCGAAGTTTTTTGATCTCCAGCTTGAGGAGCCGGATGTCTTCCATTCTCTGTCGGTACTGGGTCTCTCCCTTGTTTAAGATGGACTGCTGGATTTTGATCTTTTCATAGAGCAGAGCCAGCTCATCGTTGCGCCGAACAAGCTGGGATCCTAGGATATCTCTCTCGTTGATAACCTAAGGACTCAGCACAAAGCAATAAACTCAATTACAGTTCCTCAGTGCAATCCCAATGCATTTTGACTATATCTGCCTCAGTCAAAAGCACTCGCATTAAGAGGTTTCACTGTTATTAGTGAAAGAAAGATTGGCGAGGACCTACAGCTTTACCTATAACGGTTCAGTCACCTCCAATGTAAACAACATTATTCCATTCATCCAGTACCTTAACATTTTTATTTCAATTGAACTATGAAGATTTAGTAGTATTACACTTAAGTATCTGAGGACCTAGCCCTTAAAAATATAGCGGAGGAATGAGGGACAGAAGATTGATGCAACGTGTTGGAAAATTCAAATTAGAGATTCCTACCTGGTCAAATTCCTTCTTTTGCTTCAGCCTCTCAGCATCAGCCTCAGCAATAATTTTCAGGAGCTTTCTCTCTTCTGCCTCCTGTTTTTCTACAAAGTGTTTGGTCTCCACAGCTTGCTGTTTCATCTTAAGCAGTTCAGCCTGATGGAGTAAAAGAATATAAGTAACCTGTGCTTAGTAACAACTTCCCATTATGTAAACCTGAGATTAAGAGTGAGGATTTAAATAGAACCTGAGAGTTTCCTGAGAGATATATATTTTGCTCGTTTTTGAGAACAAATCACTACGATAAGGAAGCACGAAAACCCATAAAGAAATGTTGTAAATAGTACTTTTACGTTGTTGTGCTATACACAAGAGAAATTGGAAGGATTTTTATCTGTGATAATGGTTCAAGTTGCAATTCAAAAGCACCTCATATAATAAAAATAAAAAAAAAATTAAAGGATTCATATTTTGAAATTTTTTCCATGGAGTTGTTAACTCTGTCATGAAAAACTTGTAGAGATGAATTCAAAGACAGGCTGGGATGTGAGAAAGGACGGCTGCCCTAGCTGGAGAGAATAACAATTTATGGTATCTAATACTAATTCGCATCAACTTGGAACAGGCTTCAGACTGGAATAATAGAATTGGGGGAGAAGATGGCAACGAGGCACGGAAGGGCAAAATTAAACAGCTTTAGCAATTTTTTAGTTTGGAGAGTGGAAGATGACGACTGGGAAAAGAGGGGCTACTCTAGCTTACTGTCATGAACTCTAAAATTCAAGAGATATTATTTGGAGAAAAAGTAATAAGGGTCTGAAAAGGGCCGGCTGGATTATCAGGGATTTCTAGCATTGCTAGGCAATTAGCTACAGCCAGGATGGAACTAGCTGACATAGATATAAAATCTTTTAACCTTTGATATAAAAAAAAAGAAAAACTGCCACAACTCTGACCCTCATAAAGGGTGATGTTCAAGTTGCCTTTTGAGAAAGAACATCATCCAATGCTGAAAGAATGAGGCTGTGATGAAGGCTGTACCTGCAAAAACAATGATTCAGGACAGAAACAGTTCCACTGTCATAATAAAACACCTTGTTCCATTCTTGTTTTCTTTAATAAAACTCTCATCTTCCCATACGTGCAACAGTCATATCTCTGTTTACTCAGCACTGGATGTTCAGAATCAGAATCCATCAGGTGAACAACAATGCAAGCCGCTTCATATTGAAATGCAATCAACAGCGTGCAAAAGCTGTCTACAAATGTAAAACCGCTCATGCATTTGGCATTGCTGGATAAAATTTTTTTAATATATCAAAATTCTATGTTCTCCTTATGTCACAAAAAATATGATTTGTAAACAAGATGTGGCATTAGATGCTGGTAGCAAACATTGATGTAAACAAATCTCCTCACTGGAATACATTCAGTTAATAAAAATCTGAATTGTCTTGTACAATTATATAAATACTTTTAGCTACACAAGTGTCCCACAAACTAACAGGACTCTGAGTGAAATCAGCTGTGCTAAAAACTACATATAGAACCAGGATCTGTGTACATTAGGTAAGGGAAAAAGAAAAGAATATACACACAGTTACCATACAAGCAGAAAAAGGGCCAGGTCTGAAACTGCTGTAAATCAGCACAGCTCTCTTGAAGCGGGTTCAGAGAGTTTGTAAGAACTGAAGAACATTCAGCAAGAAAGGTACAATACGGGACCTATGTCAACATCTCAAAACAAATTCAAACCAAATCCTTGTTTAGGTTCTGAAACATCAGGAAAGCAAAGGGTTATTCATATTTGTTCAAGATATAGGCGGAAAATACAAATCTTATAAAAGGGGCTGGACATAGAATGTTTAAATAATAATAATTCAAATGTTTTACATTCAGATTTCTAGAAAATGCTAAAAAAAAAAACAAAACACATCCATGAACACAAAATGAACAGAAAACCCCTGACAACAGCTGAAACCTGGAGGGCTGCAGTTCTTACAGCTTCCAGGTACATACTTTTCAACATTTGGATGTTTTGCCAACCAGCCTGATCTGCAAGCCTGCATTGCGGCCAAATGAAACCAAAAGATAGCATTGTACTGGCTTTAATGGAGTTTGGATGTTTCATTTACGATGATTACACATTTTTAAAACACTTATACCAGCTAAGCCAAGCATAAATCCAATGTGTGTTCAATCTCATTCCTCAGTCCTCTGTGCTTTAGCACGTCCTTTAAACTGATTTCCCAGGAACAGCTTGCTTCCTTCACATCAGTGCAAACAGGACAAATTGAAGCTGGCTTGCTACACAAATAATTGGGTTCTTTGGTGCCTGTGCCAGTCAGTCCCCTCTTTGCATTCTCCTATGCTTTAGTATTCAGCAGAGAGACTCAGGTAAAAGACCGCAATGCCCTGAAGCTAGTCACTAATGTGATGTCAGTCCATGGACATACTTGCTAGTGAATAATTGAGTGGGTAAAGCATGTAGCAATCCTGTGTTTGTCAAATGGCTGGCAAACAATTCTGAGGTGATGAGACAGAACTGGGAACAAGTTAAGGCAGAAAGCTGCACACAGAAAATGAGACGCTGTTTGATTCCTTCATCACTAATGGAAAAATTCTGAGATAGATCAGGTAGAAGAACCTAAATTCATCACCTTTTCACAAAGCTCTATTGACATCTTGTCATAACTGTACTGTGCTGAGAGGGGCTGAAAACCTGAGGAGTAATTGGAGCATAGCAATAAATTGACAAAAGAAAACATTGTGGAATGTGGCTGGGGATTGTTTGGTTTTGGGGAGCTGGTTGTTTGTTGCTCTTGGGTTTTTTTCCTACTGCTAAGTGAGGAGAGAAGTGAGCTGCTGTGGACACTCTAACTCCTTAAATTTTTGGAGAGAGCAGCAAATTGGGTTAAGATATCAACACAAATCTAACAGCTTATCCAAGGGGCTGGTGCTGAAAAAAGGAAATAGAGCATAAAGCTCAGATTTCTTTTGATTTAAAACAGATTTTTGTTTCTTTATATGACACACAATAGTAAAATCACTTCCTTTCTGCACACTTACTGGAAGACACTACCTAACTCCCAGGAGATTGATGCTTGCTAGTCACACAGAAATACAAGGTGGTGAAATACAGTATAATGGAGTTAGCACTTAAAAGCAGTAGAGAGAAAAGGTTAAAAAAAGGAAAACTGGAATTTTAAGGGTCTACATTAAAAAGTGCTACAATCAGACTACCCCAAAAATCCACACTTCTGCAAGCAAAACAGACCTTTTAGTAAAAAAGCATCGGATATGCAAAGAGCTAATCCAGGACCTTTCTGACTATAATTACTGGTAGAGATGAAATTTGTCAGATACCTGGAAGATTTGTTTAACCTCTAAAGGGTACTGAGAGCTTGAGCTTCAATTACAGAACAGTTTTTTAAATACCACAAAGCAACTGCCATAGACTAAGAATATGATGCAGTCTGTGCAATCATGTTGCTTCTTTCCCAGAGAGTCCTGGAAAACATCCTTAGTAAGAAGGTGTATGTGTAAGGGCTCTGACCTTCAGTGATTCCTTCTCCCGTTCTGTTCGCTGATGTTCTAGATGTGCTTTCACGAGAGCTGCTTCTTTGGCTGTGATCTCCTCTTTCAGCTGATCCACCTGATGTGTCATAGTTTTCAGTTTTTTCTTCATTTCTGCTATCTCATCCTAATAGGAAGGAAATATGATCAGATTAGTAATCACAAAGAGGGACTAAAAAAAAAAAAAGTAACTTTGTACTTGGGAGTTCAAGTTATTCTGACAGCAGAAAATGTGACCACAGTGCTTCAGAGCAGCTATACGTACCACATGACATTACTTTCTAATGCAAAAGAGCAAAACAATTTCTGACCTTTAAAAGGCACATTGACAACAATGATCATTCACAAGGAGTATAATAAGTCATTTTATTTAAAGTACCAGACACATAATAAGAACTAGCAGTCAGTTCAAATTAATACTCTGATCCTATCCATATATTGTCATGCTTTTAGTAATGTGTTTTTCAAAACAGCTGTGTACTATTGTGCACAAATGTTTTGGGGAGAAGCTGGTTCTGTGCAGATGAAAGTACCCACGCACAAGACACCTACCTATCTGCAAGTGAGCGTACCAAATACTTATCTTC